TAAATCGGTACCTAGTTGATTAATTAATTTCTTTGCAACGAATTTCGCAAGTTCAAATTTAATTTGATCAATGATCCCTTTAAACAACAAACATGCAAATTTGCAACATTCAAAGCAACAAAATAGATTTAATTTAAAATTACCAAGTCATTAGAAAGATAAGAATATTCGATTATTTAAAATATCGAGACCAGATCTTTAGTTCAGTTCTAACGACCTTTCTCGAAAAGTTTAAATAGTCGAATATTTCCTTTTCTTTCGCTCCCAAATTTTACAATGATATATCCAAACTTAATTAGGCGTTACTGACGGGATACCATTTTAATTTAAAATCGTCAAAACAACTTTCCTGTAAGTTAAGAAAAGCCATTCTGATAATTTTAGATTAAAAGGGCATTACCCTTAATTCCGATTATGTGATTAGATCGAGTTATTCACGTGAGGCTATCATGCAAATTATGCTGATTGAATGTCATGCAAAGAGTAATAATATTATGATTAAATATCATGTAATTTGAAATACAAAGAAAAAATATACATATATTTTAATTTCAAAAAAAAAATAAACCACACATATTAACATATAATGTACAAACATGACTTAAACGTAATAATAAAAACATGACTTGCAAAACTACAAAATTAAAATATATATAGATATATACATATTTTAAAAAAGTGACTAAATATGAATAAAATCAAAACTAAACATACTAATCAAAAGTTAAACAAGGGTTAAAATATAAAGAAACTAAACAGTAGGCTCATTTCACAAAAATTTCATTTCCATGCACTGCAAGCATAATATTACAAAAGTGCCATGCAGGATCACAATGCACATTTCCGAAATTACATATCCAATGTCAAATTTGCACAAAAATGGCCAAAACATGTAACTGGACTAAAATAAAATGCTCTATAAATTGAGAGACAAAATTAGAATAATAATAAAGCTCGATTCAGGGACTGAAACGGAACGAAACAAAGGAGGAAGGACCTAATACAATGTTAGCCCATCTTCTAAAACACGGTTCACCCCTGCCCATCAAAACGCTGCCGTTTTGGAAACATCTAAACGACGCCGTTTCTGTTACTAGACACACGGTGATTAGGGTAAACCTTAAGCCTCATCCATTCTCTCCTTAGCCTTAAGCCAGACAACCCCCATCTCAGTCATTTTCCCTCTCCCTCTCTCAACCTTCTTCCTCGATTTCGCACCCCTAACAGAAACCCTATCAGCCGCCGCAGCCGTCGCCGTTTAGCGCTCCGATGAGGAGTCTAAGGCGGCCCGAGCTCTCTCCTCCACTCAAGAGTAACCACCTAGGCCTAGATCTAAGCCAAGCCTCTCAAAACTCCTCCTTTTACCTTATTCATCCCTGCCTTTAGAACCCGACTGTGGCAGCCGCAGTGGCTGCCACCTACAAATGACTCCGGTGAAATGCCCCGACGAAACCCCTACCCTCTCCTTGAGTCCCTCACGGACTAAACCACGACCTCAAAACCTAAGTTATAATCAAACATTTGAAACCTAATCAAGCCAACCTGTGGCCACCACGGGCCTCCTCTCTTAACCCTGACACAAACCTAGAAAACCCCTCAAAATCCTAAAGAACGTGGCTTAAAACCGACATGCTCTGTTGGATACGAACAAGAAACGAAGGGTTTACCTTCTCTCAGACGGGTCGTGGGTTCCTAGCAATGGCGACGAAGGTTTCTGGATGGGTGAGTTTCTTTTTGTTTTCGTTTTGTTCTCTGGTTGTTGATGAATGATCTTCTGGGTATTTCGTTTTTTTTGTTCTTTTTGGGTTCTATTCTGTTTTCTTTCCTGATGTCTAAGAGATTTTTGTTTTTGTTTTTTCGTTCTTCCCCTCCTGATCACTGAGAGAGCTCCCTCTTTTTTCCTCCCCCTCCGTTATTTCTAGTTGATCTCCTCTTCTATAGTTTTGTTTTCGTCCGTTTCTGCTCTTGTTTGGTGTGTTTGCAGGGCACTGGCACGAGTAAGTCACGGGCGGCAGCAGTGGGGAGTAGAGCTGTTGTTCGGTTGGGCGTGCGTGATCTGGCAGTGTGGTGGTGGCTTCACGTGAGTCTGCAGGTGGCTCGGGGATCACGGTGATTTGGGGACTGTTGGATCGTGGAGCCAGATCCAATGGAGGAGGCTCAGCGGTGTTGTGGAATATTAGGGTCTAAAAAAAACCCTAAAGTTATCATCCTCCTTCCTGAACCGTTAGATTGGGAGCCTTCAGATCCTGTGGTCCACATAGTGCGGCGCTTGGCACTCTTCAGGCTGGAAACAGAAGCTGGAAACCCTAACGGGTTTTAGGGTTCTCTTATGCTTGGGCCTGTTTGGTCTGGCCCGTTTTAGTTGTAACTCTGGTGTAGGCCCTGTAATAGTAAAAATAAATATACTTAGTCCATGTTATAAATTATTATTATTTTTTATTGCAATTTTATGTCATATATTTTCATGTTAATAACTAACAAATACCAAACTTATGCTAATAACCCTAATAACGATAATAGTAAAACCCAATTGAATTTAAATAATGCCCCGGACAAATCGAGCATCTACATGAACTATCTTGTAATGACCATTCGTTACTTGTTAGCATTGGCGGATCCATAGTTATTTTAGGCTGCGCATAATAACAAATATATATTTTAAAATTTAAAATTTTAATTGAATATTTATTTTAAAATGTTATATATTCATTTTATTTAAAAGATTTATATTATTAATATATATATACACCTATCTTAAAACATAATTTTGAATCTATCACTTATTGTTGGAGGCTGCAAGGTACCTAACGGGTGTGTGATTCTTGTGTTGGTTATTTGGTTTATTTGGGACTGGTAAAGCAATAATCTTCCTTTATGTCTGAGACAGCTCCCTTAAAAGGATGATGGCAAAGTTTTTGTGAAAAATAATGGACAGCAATATTGTAGAAAATGCATGTTTCTCTACCAGCTTCTAGTTAAATTTCTTTATTATATATTCCGTTAAGGGCGTAAATGAACCAAAATTGAATGAATAAAATTATTTTTGTATTTATTCGTTTATTTTTTAAAGTGTACATGTTCAATTCGTGTTTGTTTAAATTTTTAGTATAATGTGCATGTTCGTTTTTTATTTTGTAAGTATTTATGTTTGTTCGTTTAATGTTCGTGAATATGCTCATTTAATGTACATTTAATATTTGACGACCAACACTATCTTTTTATTTTTTTTATTTGCAAGTCAAAGAAAATAGTGAATTACGATAATAGTCCTTAAGTTTATAGGCTTCATAGTTTGAACTCCAAAGGTCATCTTATGTTAATTTAGTCCCTATTTTAATATTTAAAATGTAGAAAAAATAAAAGAAAAGAAGAACCGAGTAAACGAGTCAATAAACGAACTTATTCATGAACATAGTCGAACCAAACACATTTCTATTCATTCATTTATCAAATAAACATAAAAAATCATGGGTAAATACACATTAGTACCTAAACTATCAATTTTAGTTCGTTTTAGTACTTGAACTTTCAATTTAAAAAAATCTACCTAACATTTAGTTTTTGTTTCATTTTTAATACATCTCACCGTTAAAAATTTAATGCGCTTAGTACATAAACTCTAAAAAAATTCAAACCTTAACATTATATTTTGAACATGGGTACTAAAATGAAACAAAAATTTAACTTTCGATTATAATTTTGAAAAAATTGAAAGTTTATATATTAAAATGGATCAAATCTAATAGCATAGATACAAACACGTAATTTACCCAAAATTTATTCACACTCATTTATTTAGCTTAATAAATATAAATGAATGTTATATGAATGATTTACTAACAATTCATCAAATGCTCTGTTTATTTACACCCTTATATTTATTTCGTAGCCCGGAGAGGAGGGCCATAATTTTTCTATTATTCATATTTTCTCTTTCAATTATGTTTTTTCTAATTTAATTTATAGTTAAAAGTTTATTTAACTTTTTGTGTTTGAGTTCTGAGATCCGAATATGTTATTAATCATTCTTTGCATTGATATTCGCTGTGTCTGTGTAAACACCCAATTTCATCCCAAAAAAAAAATTGAATTCGAAGCAATTGAACGTATTAATTTAACTTGTATATAATTCAGATAATTAAAAAATTAGATTTAAATTTAATTATAAAGCATACAAATATGCTTGATTTTTCTTTTTGAAACCGAGCCTCCGGCTGCAGACACCTCTATTCTCAATAGGTTGATACCGAGTGGAACATCAAGTCGATTGAACATATGATCTGTCCCGTCCTGTTCTGTTGGTACGGTATTCGAACCATATTGTCCACGAAGACGATGCAAGGAACAAGCCATCACGGCTTACGGAAATCTTCAGTGAGACAGGGACGGAGTTTTCTTCCACTGTTTGAATTCAGAAGCTTCAGAGAAAATCACTGCAACGCAACAAATTCGAGCAGTACAAATTAAAAATAAATAAAATCGTGCCTTTTCCAATCTATATGCAGAGCAAAAATATTTCGCTTTATGAATTTCCAGACTCGATTAAGGAAAAATTGTAATCATATATTAATGGTATCTTACCTGATAATGCAAAAGGCATGCTACAATGCCAGCTTTCAGCTTTACTTTGATGTGAGAAAAGAGGGTTTTATTCATGTTGATCTTTGCCAAATATAAATCTTTCTTCTTCTTCTTCTTCCTTTTCCTTTTCCTTTATATACTATAATAATTGGTGGAAATGTGGAATGTTTTGTAGTAGTAACTTCGGTAAAGATAATGCGAAGATGCTTTTATCATGCACGTTATGAAAGGATTTATCTTTTACGTGATGGAAAGAAAACGAAAAGGAAGAATCTGTAGAAAAAAAAAATCAATGCTAAGTGAAAGAGATTCCTTCGGTTTACACACAGACACACAGCCGAATTTGTGCCTTTCTTCACCTTCACACTTCACGCTTCACACCTTTTGCTCTCACTCTCTCTTTATGTTATGATTCTTTCTTTCTTTCTCCCCAAGTTGGTCTCCTTTTCACTGTTAATGCTTATCTTCTCGTAACTCTTTTGTCTTTCGTATTCGTTCTCACTGTCATTCCAGTGCACTTGGTCACCACCTTTCTTTTTTTTCTCTCAGTTAATACAACTTCCAAAGCAAGGGTTTCTCCCAGTTCCTTTTATGCTCTTCTGGGGATTTAAAAAAAACAACTTTGTTGTTGGTTTTGAAAGATTTTCCATTAGGACTTTGTTTTGGCGATTTGGTTTTTCTTTTATCTAGGGGAATATATAAAGTTTTGTTTTCTTAAAGAAGGTTTGAACTAAGAAAAGAGAGAGAAATGGCAGGACAAGGTGGAGGAGGAGGTGGTGGTGGAGGAGCTGCACCAAAACCAAAGCAAGACGAGTTACTGCCCCATCCAGTGAAGGAGCAGCTGCCTGGCGTTGCTTATTGCATGACTAGTCCTCCTCCTTGGCGTGAGTTTCTCTCATTTTAAAACTCTTTATCTTGATTCCTTATTGTTGGTTTTAAATCCCAACTTTGTCAACTTTCCAACTTTTTTCATAAAAATATGTCAATTCTCATTTAGTTTCTATTATTCTTTATTCATTCTTGTCTATGAATGTCTCATTTCATTTGCAGCTGAGGCTCTATTATTGGGTTTTCAACATTACTTGGTGATGCTTGGGACAACTGTTCTCATACCAACCTCTCTAGTTCCCCAGATGGGAGGTGGAAATGTATGTTTTCACAAATAGCCAATTAGTTCTTCATGCTTTTAATGTTTATTTTTGTCTAAATTTATTTATGTGCTTCACTTGCATTAGGAAGAGAAAGCAAAGATGATTCAGACATTGCTATTTGTGGCTGGGGTGAACACATTGTTCCAAACATTGTTCGGTACCCGTCTACCGGCTGTGGTTGGAGGTTCCTATACCTATTTGCCGACCACCATTTCGATCATCTTGGCAGGTCGCTATACTGACATTGTGAATCCTCAGGAGGTTAGCTTCACTAAGACCCTACAGTTTTGTTTCTTACTTGTGACGTAAGTTAACAGAGTCCCAGAATTGAAAAGTTGATTCTCTATTGGATATGCAGAAATTCGAGAGGATCATGCGCGGAATCCAGGGAGCCCTTATTGTTGCCTCCACCCTTCAGATCGTACTCGGATTTAGTGGCCTTTGGCGTAATCTTGCAAGCTAAGTTAAGGCCTGGAGATTAGTTTATAGCTCCAGTGGAACTGCTCTATGCAAGTTTTTTATATGTTTCAATGCTTTTCCAGGTGTTTGAGTCCTTTATCTGCTGTTCCCCTGGTTGCTCTCTCTGGCTTTGGGCTCTATGAGTTTGGTTTTCCTGTGGTATGCATCAGCTGCCGGTGGGAACATTTGTTATAAAACTGTTTCATCTTTGTCTCTCAAGTCTGGTTATCTCTTTTGTAGCTTGCTAATTGCATCGAGATCGAGTTGCCACAGATCGTCCTTCTCTTAGTTTTTGCACAGGTAATTTATGTTGTCCATTTAAAGATACCGAAAAAGATGGTTAATGCTTGATCATTCAAGAACATTCTGTTCAATTGTAAATTTGTAACCGTCACCTTATGAGTTTTTTTGCAGTATATACCTCATATTACGAGTGGGGAGCAGCACATGTTTGAGCGCTTTGCTGTCGTATTCTCTGTTGTGATTGTCTGGCTATATGCTCACCTGCTGACTGTTGGCGGAGCATATAAGAACACTGGACCTAAAACTCAAATGACCTGCCGGACCAATCGCGCTGGGATTATAGGTGGTTCTCCTTGGTAAGTCCCTTTTCTTCATTCGCAAGGCAATATGATTTTTTCTGTGGGATCTATTACTCTTGTAATTGGACAGTCAAAAGTTCATTGTTTTGCTCTCTGTATAAGAACAATAATGTTCATTAATTGAGTACTACATTTTCTGGACAGGATAAGAGTTCTGTAACCCCTAGACCCGGCCTATGCGTTTCGACTAAGTCTAGTGGATCACATTATAATTATTAAAGACATTTTTCCGAAACCGTTATTCAATCAATATAAAATCACATTATAAATAACATGAAATTATAAACAAATTATACTATCAAAATCCAACTCGTAAATATAGTACCAATAAATAATAAATTAATTTAAAACATGTCTTCAAATTCAAAATCACGATAAACCGAATAGTAATAGCAAAAGTGTCATCGTTATAAAAATCCGATATTTTAAAATAAGGTCCATGTCACCAAAATAAAGTCAACTTGCAAGATAAAACATTACAATCAGATATACTTCAAAAGATATGTTGATCCTCCAAGTGCTCGAACCGATGTATCTAACCAACAATATCTGAAAGAGGAAAAACATTTTCGAAAGGTGAGCTAGGCTCAGTGTGTCCCAACATTACCATAAAATCACAATAGGTACATTAAACAAATCATAGTCCAGTAAATCTCACAAATTCGTAAAAGAGTTTAACTTTTGAAAATCATAGTTTAAACCCTTTTCTGGTACACCATCAGTGGTTCCCAAAATTATTTTCCATATAGCTTACTTTATGCACATAGCAAAAAGAAAGTCGACTTAAGGATAGGCTATGAAGCTTGTATCCTTAACCCCAAGTCAATAAGTCCATATAGCTTACCCTAAGCACACAGCAAAGGAAAGCCGACCTAATGAAACATCTTGGGGCCCTCAAGAGTCACATTAGGCCTGTTTATTAGCTTGATCAGAGCTATACAATTGTAGTTCAATCCATCCCAAAATCAATATCCATATACCAGTCATCAAAGTCCATAAATCATTAACAATAAATCGGTGTACCAACAATAATAAACCATAGATTTCAATGTACTATATTTCAAAACATATAATACCATTATATAGTAAACAGGAACACACCTCGATAATGGGTTCAAATAGTAAATCTACTGATTGTTGGTTTCACCACGCTCTGTTACAGTTTTCGAACGGGTGAATACTGGTATATGTGGTTTAACTGATCTAGAAGAGTTGGGTCGAGCTGTCGAACGATCCGGAGAGTCTCTTGTACCTTCAAACAATAATAATTAATCAGCCCCAAATCTTACTTAATTGTTCAAAGCTAGAATTCTTAAGTATATAAGCATTTTTCGGGTTTGACTATCATTTTGGGGTATTTCGAGTCTGAATTTAGCCAAACGGATTGTGGAATCGGAATCAGGACGTCGAAAAACATAAAGTATGACTTTTTGAAAATTCAGATTCTTGGTCAAAGTCAAAGTCAACCACTTTGACCGTCGATTTGGAGGCCTTCGGGTTCGAATTTGGTGAAACGGACTGCGGAAATGGATTTGGCACGTCGAAAACTATCAGGATAGGTATACTCGGAAAATATTTACGGTCGTTTAAGGGTCGGTCAATGCCATTTTAAGCTTTGGTCAAAGAAAGTCAACGGTCAACAGTCAGGTCGGGTCAGCGGTCGGGTCGGGTCGGGTCGATCGAGTCGGGTCGGGTCAGACCGGTTCGAACGAGTCAAAATCGGTTGAAAACCGGTCAGACCGGTTTTCTAGCCCTCCACTCTCCCTACGGCGGCGCGTGTGGCGCATGGGACGTCCTCCGGGGCCCTAAAAATTACGAAAAAATTTCTAAAAATTATTTTGAGCGATTTCGAGATACTTACAACAGTCGTTTCAAATTTTTGAACGGCGGAGAGCTCGATTTTAACTCGGCTGAATCTATGACTGCTCCACCTCCTCACGCGCCGCCGTCGACGGCGAACAAGGTTGACACCGGCGGACTCGAAATGGCACAAGGAATACGATGGTGCAGGAGGTGTCGTAAACGGAGCAACGATCGGCGGTGAATTTGAGATTTTCCCGGCGATAGAGCTAAAAAAAACGTCGATGCTTTGACTTGAAATTCCCAACGTTTGGCAGCGTTTTACTTCAATTAATTTAAGGGGATTGTTCCTAACTCAATAACGAACACGATGGTGATTTCAAAAAGACGATCGGAATTCGGACGGCGTCGGGATCTAAGTCGGAAATCGGCGTAGGGGGAAGGGGATTTGGGGAGTGGTTTTCTGTTTTGAAACAGAAAACCACCCCACGTATATATCATCTAAAACTAAACTTACCTAATTTTATTGGGTATATTCAGGGCTTAGTCCCTGAATTTCCTTTAACTCTAAAACAAGCTCCAAATTTTAAAATCTTTCAATTTAGCCCCCAATTTTCACCAATTTTCACAATTAACCTCCAATTTCAATTAAATATTATTTTGTAAATATTCGGGTTATTACAATTCTCCCCCTCTACAAGAAATTTCGTCCTCGAAATTTACCTTATGAGAATAGTTGAGGAAACTGAGCCTCCATTGACTCCAATATCTCCCAAGTAGCTTCTGAGGGGCCTCTATTACTCCATTGAACTTTGACCATTGAAATACGCCTATTCCGAAGAACTCCCTCATCTCTTTCTAAGATCTGGATGGGCTCTTCCTCATATGACAAATCAGGTCTCAGCTCTACCTCATCAACTTGAATGATGTGATCTGGATCTGGACGGTATCGCCTTAACACAGACACATGAAAAACATCATGAATACGACTAAGATGGGAAGGCAACTCAAGCTGATAAGCAACAGGTCCAACTTTCTTTAGAATACGATACGACCCAATAAATCGCGGACTCAGTTTACCCTTACGTCCAAATCTCAATACTTTCTTCCATGGAGATACCTTGAGAAAAACCTGATCTTGAACGTCAAACTGTATATCCTTCCTCATTTGATCTGCATAAGATTTCTGCCTATCAAATGCCTCTTTCAGACGGTCACGGATCAATCTGACTGTGTCCTCTGTCTCCCACACTAACTCAGGTCCCAAAGTCTTCCTATCACGTAACTTAGTCCAACAAATCGGGGTGCGATACCTACGCCCATAGAGTGCTTCATAGGGTGCCATACGAATGCTGGTCTGGTAACTGTTATTATAAGCGAATTCAGCCAAAGGCAAAAAGTTCTCCCAGCTACCATGAAAATCAATTACATAACCCCGTATCATATCCTCCAGAATCTGAATTACTCTCTCAGATTGACCATCAGTTTGTGGGTGGAAGGAGGTACTATAATCCAATCTCGTACCCAAAGTCGTATGTAGCGCCTTCCAAAATCTCGAAGTAAATCTCGGATCTCGATCTGAAATGATAGATAACGGAACACCATACAATCTAACAATCTCTGAAATATACAACCTCGCCAACTTATCCAACGTATAATTTACCCGTACAAGAATGAAGTGAGCTGACTTTGTAAGTCTGTCAACAATCACCCAAATTGAGTCCTTTTTCGAAGGAGTCATAGGTAAACCAGTAACAAAATCCATAGTAATACGATCCCATTTCCATTCAGGAATCTTGATAGGTTGTAACAAACCTGATGGGTGTTGATGTTCCGCCTTAACTTGCTGACAAGTCAAACACCTCGCCACAAAATTCGAGATGTCCTTCTTCATGCCGACCCAATGATACCTCTCTCTCAAATTCCGATACATCTTATATCCACCGGGGTGCATAGCATATGGACTACTATGAGCCTCCGTAAGGATAGTCTGCCTCAACTCAGCATCATCCGGCACACAATACCAACCTTTGAAGCATAAAACTTCATCCTGATCAAGGGCGTAATCTGAGCTTGTCCCTTGCTCTACTTGCTCAAAGATGGAAAGCAAGGAGCTATCAAGGGGCTACTTAGCTTTGATCTTATCAACCAAGGTCGGCTTAACTTGTAATTCTGCTAACAGAGTGCCATAGTCATATAAATTCATCCTGGCCATTAAAGATCTCAACTCTGTCACCTTCTTTCAACTCAAAGCATCTGCTACAAAATTAGCTTTACCAGGGTGATAATCAATCACGCAATCATAATCCTTTAGAAGCTCTAGCCAGCGTCGCTGTCTCAAATTAAGCTCCTTCTGGGTCAGAAGATACTTTAAACTCTTATGATCCGTGAAAATGTAACACTTCTCTCCATAAATATAGTGTCTCCAAATCTTCAAGGCAAAAATCACTGTTGCTAACTCCAAATCATGAGTAGGATAATTACCCTCATGTGGTCGCAGCTGACGGGATGCATAAGCCACTACCTTACCTTCCTGCATTAGAACACAACCAAGTCCTGAGTGTGACGCATCACTATACACTGTAAAATCCTTCCCGGACTCTGGTTGAATCAACACTGGTGCTTGAGTCAATACCGCCTTTAATTTCTCAAAGCTCTCCTGTTGTGCCTTACCCCAGTCAAACGGCACATTCTTCCTTAACAACTTTGTCAAAAGAGAAGCAATGATCGAGAAGCCCTCAACAAAACGTCGATAATAACCAGCCAAGCCCAAGAAACTGCGGATTTCAGAGATATTCTTGGGTCGTTTCCAATTCACAATAGGCTGGATCTTGCTTGGATCGACCTGAATACCTCGCGCAGAAATAATATGCCCCAGAAACGACACTTCTTGAAGCCAAAATTCACACTTGCTTAGTTTGGCATATAGGCAATGCTCTCTCAAAGTCCACCACAAATTGATCCAAATATGGTCGGAACACCCGATTCATCAAATCCATGAAAGCTGCAGGAGCATTCATCAAACCAAAAGGCATCACTAAGAATTCATAATGACCATATCTAGTGCGAATGGCCGTCTTTGCAACATCAGATCCTTTAACTTTCAATTGATAATACCCCGAACGAAGATCAATCTTAGAGAATACAGTAGCTCCTCGCAACTGATCAAATAAGTCATCAATCCTGGGTAGTGGATATTTATTCTTGACCGTCATCTGATTCAACTTCCGATAGTCAATACATAATCTTAACGACCCATCCTTCTTTTTCACGAACAGAAGTGGAGCTCCCCATGGTGAAGTATTATGCCAAATAAATCCTCGATCGAATAATTCTTGCAATTAGACCTTCAACTCCTTA